CATGGAGCGTAGAGTGCGTAAAACCTGTGCGACATATCAATAGGACTGTTTAGAGGGTAGCACGAGCAGTGCTACCTTTCTGACGAGTTTCCAGTCATAGAATGGATCCTCGTCGATGGTCTTCCACGCGTCGAATTTGAGGTATTCATCCAAGGTTTGTGCTGCATCTTTCCATTCCTGCTGTACTTATTAGACGAGCCGCGTGGGGAGTGAAGTAGCATGCTCACCTGGTAAGTCCGCGCACTACGAAGGCGTTTCCTGAGAAGACCTTTGCGTCCTCTCCCTAAGGAAATGTTAAATCACTAGCGCTCAGGCTTGGATTAGACGTAGTAACGCACAGGCTATGAGCCATTCTTTGGTGTTGACTAGTTGGCGAATGAGGATGTATAAACTGAACTCCAGCGAGATAAAAAGGAATATTATAGTCTGACATAAAATCGTATGAGGGTACTGGTGCATTTGACACGTGAAGGGAACGCACGAGGATGGGCCAACGCAGTAATATGAATAACCATTCCTGCCTCTTCACGCCATGATATCGAGTACTCGGCCGCTTTCGCCTAGCCCAGAATACTATCAATATACACTGAGGGATCACAGGAGCACACACACACCTTGTGACTCTTTGGTTCACCGGCGCAAAGTCTGACAATGCAGACACCTTACGTACCCGTCGGCCAGGGGTCGCAAATGCGCCTACGTGCGGCGATCCGGGAGTGGGTGTCTCGGATATCTCGACAAATTCGTCTGTATTTAAGGCTTCTGCAAATGCTCTGATGTGCCTATAGAACGGTTAAGTTTCGATGGAGATGTTCCGGCGCCCGTGAAGCATGCACAGCACATACCGTTCATCTGCATAGTCTCTGTCCAAGTCCCTCACATGGGTTGGATGTTTTGTGGATGAGTCTGGCGGTGTTGAAGATCCGTTCATGGTCGTGGACAACAGTATAACGGTTTGAGAGAGGTAAAGAGAGAGGGAGAGGCAAAGATGTGGTAGGCGTCTCTGAAATGTGGGGCAAGCATCTTGTTTCGAGGCGTAACGTCAGACCCAGCTCGGAAATGTTGGGGCAAATTCAACGTTCTGCCAGATTTCGTCTAGATCGATCTAAGCGTCACGAGCACTTGGGGCGTCTATCACTCCTCCCCGCAACGTTTCCGTGCAAAAAGCCGTCCACGTGGTAGATTCTTCACCAATCACATCTAAATAAGGCATACGCTTGACATCATCACAATTCGTCCGTGTCGATCCTCCAGATCTCCTGAATCGGTTTCAGAGGTTGCTTCTCAACCTTTTTTTCGCTCTGCCTTACTCTAGGGACTCGGAAAGGTCAAGGCAATGGCATCCTATGTTCTTCTCTCATTTGGACGTGATGTCGCGCCCTCATCTCCGGTACGGACTGTGCAACTTGTGGCATGCTGTAGGAAGAGTCCTTATGTGGAACTTTTGTGTTTACGTGTCACCTTGTCAGGGTTTGCCACTGGGAATGCCTGTAGAAATATCGGGTCAAGGTTATGCTCTCATACGTGCTGCATACTTCCGCTGTTCCGTACTGCTCGTAGGTCTCACGTCCAATATCTATGTGATTGACCATCGACAGGGCAATGTCTGTGAATGAGATAGTCATCGAGTCTTATTTGGCAGTTCAACTGTTGTTAGTTTCAGCGGTCTCATAGCGAGCGCATCGACGCATGACCTTGGTTCGTGATTGTATCTCCTCCCATCCTGATGTTACTGATTCCGGGCTGTTTCAGTAAGTCAGTAAGTAGTTGTGGTCAACGCATTTCTCGACGAGCACCACATCCGGTACTAGCTCGTGCCGGCAGCTTCGATCGCGAATTGTTATCGTTTTAGTCTCGGTTTATCTCGGCCATCTCAGCCCCTATTGTGTCTGACAACGGCGGTTTGGAGACTTGAAGACTGAATCGGCATGCGCTCGTTAACAAGGTCTCACGATGTCCCGGTCAAGGTACGTGAACTCGCTCGTATTCTCGCATTGCGCGATCTCAGCTTACATGCCAATTTGCATAAGGGCTGTCCATGGCATCGCAAAGCAGAGCAAGTGCATATGCTTTTCATCGTCCTTTGCGCAGCGCGCGCTGTGTAACGCTTCGGGCCGTTGTTGGAGAGTACCGCCATCACGGCTATGTCCGAGGTTGCGCAGGGATTACAATCGTCGGCGTCGCCGTTCCTAGAAATTAGGTTTATGCGCGAGCGCTCGGTATACGCCCCCGGCGTGAGTATAAAATGGGTCTCTGCGGTGCTATCGATCCCCCAGTTCTTGGACTCAGATTTGTTCCTCCACTAACACACCTCACTCACTACATACACCATGGGTTGGTTCTCTAACGACTCCGATGAGTACCGTGCCTACGAGCAGGTACGTACAATCCCCAGCTCTTCCGCATAATGTGTGCTCATTGTGTTCACGCGCTTTTAGGTCACCAACGCACAGAGCCATGAGCACAAGGCGGCTCTCTCTCACGAGCTCATTGCTGCTGCTGCGTCCTACGAAGCCGCCAAGGCTTACGAGCAGCACTGCGCTCGCAACGGCCAGCCCCCTAGCCACGAGAAGGCCAAGGAGCTCCTGTGAGTACATTGCGCGTGATCTGAGACGATCTAACGCGTTCTGACCGCGTCTTCAGTGCTGGATTTGCTGGTGCCTTCATCGACCGCGAGGTTGAGACCAAGGGCCTTGACTTCATCGACAGGCAGAAGGCTAAGCACCACGGTATGTTCGATCCGTCCCGATGTCTTTGATGATGTCTGATCGTAACCCGTATAATAGCGCACGAGAGGAACGTGGGTGCATACGATGCTACCCAGCAGTGGTGAACGTAACAAGCCGACCTTTGTATCATTCTCGTGGATTTTGTAGTAGTGCCAGTATAACAATGTAGCATTGGAAACGCGTACTATATCTTGTGTGCGATACTCGACAGCGACCGACACTTCTTTCATCTTATGTCGCTACGTTCAAGTGATTGCCCCATTTTCCATGCTTCGGGCAATTGATTTATTCCGAGTTGTTTAGGCACATAACTATCTGTAATACGCCTTCGAGGTAACCTAGTTCAATCGGCCCGAGGCAATGGCTCGTGCACCTGAAACAAACGAAAAGGAGGTAATGGTTTCTACGACGATAGAGGCTCCAATTGTGAGCTCGAAATGCACGAACGTCGAAGACAAAAGGCAAACGGCTACACCCAGTGATACAGGTGACGACTGGGTGTAATTCGAAATTATGAGGACCGCAGTTGATAAATCTACGTGGGTGAATGCTCACGAGAAAAAGCGCACGGCGAAATCTGGCGAAATTCGAGTATAAGTCGGCGCATGACACGAGACATCTTCCCGGTTGGCGGACACACACCTTAATCCCCCGCAAGCGTGGCTGAATGTCGAGGTGAGAAGCGACTAGTATATTTCGACGCGGCCTCGCGAGCGTGTCCTGTAGCGGTGGCAACACAGTATCATGTACTGGCACAGGACTGCTGAGGACGTATTTCCCGGACGCGACGAGAGAATGCAAACCGCGAGGCCCGGATTGCTAGACGGTCCGGAGGACGATCCAGATATCCAAGGATCGCAGACATATGGCAGCGTGCTGCGTCGCGTCGCCGAGATCGAGAAGATCCGCCACACGAAGTTACGCTGGGACTCTGACTGTACGCCACCAGCATGTATTTTGGCTCCATCGGTGAAAGGCTGCCTAACTGGGGAGTCGCTTGGAGCTGAGTAAACATCATCTTCGACCGTCCTGCTTCCTTGACGGTCTGCCCCTCATAGAGGCACACGTCTACTAGGCACTGACTCCATAAGCCCCTGGTTCTTCATTCTCTCTGTTCATTCACCTTCGCTTCCTGTCTTGTATTCTCTTTCGGGCCGATCCGCGGCTGGAGGTAGAGCCTCTCCGGCCCTCGTCGTGGCGAGCAAGACGCGGTCGGCATGTGCACATCGTCGTCGCAGGTATTGCTCTTCTTTGAGCTCCACGTCGCCATGTACGCGGTGCACATAGCCTCGCGCTTGGCGCGTGGCTAGCATAACGCGTCGCAATTCTTTAGACCGTGTCGGGCGCACGCGAGAACACTCTCGCTGTGCGTATGATGTACCCAGGGTGATCCCTCTTCGATAAAGCGACAACGCATCGGATTCAGAATGCTCTGTATCCGAAGGACGGTCTTGGCTGGGCGCAGGACAGAGTAGAAGCTATCCAGGACTCGAATGGAAGCCATGTCACGAAGGCCCGCCGTGGTGCTGAGCCGAAGGAGTTTCTGGCGTGGCAGCGGTAATACCCAAGAAACACTGACGCGATGCTCCCAGGTATTTCGTGCCGACGAGCTGCGGCTATTCACTAAGGATGCGCCTCGTCTGTTCTCGCGACTCTGTGACCATCTGTAGTAATTCCCCTAGGGAGCGATTCGATTACTGCCGTCAACACTGCTAGGCAATTATTTAAGCATATTCAGCATCTAGCATGAGGCGTACGTCCCGCACATACCGCACAGTGTTATGATCGATAATAGCAATATAACCCCAAGTGGATAATTGGGCTCGTGGTGATGATCCAGGCTACAAGTGCACAGTCCAATTGAATCCAAAATCACCTGTGGTGATGCCTATGTACCTTTGGAAGATAGCGTGCTGGCAATGAGGCAATTGAAACCTAGGGACGTGGGGCATAGTCAATGCAGGAACGTAAGATAACGTACTTCGCTCGGAACAATCACGGATGCTACGGCGCAGTGTGAACCAGCCTTCGACCCTTAATTACATGAAGCCTTAGAACAGTCCAGAGACGGACTTTACAGAGAAGATAGTTGAACTAAGAAGATCGTCAACTTCAGCAGGCTGTGTTCTCGCTACCCGCGCTTGTACGGCAGATGCCGAACCCTCGACGCGTCAACATGCGTAAACAAACCATCTGTTCCTTACGACGCGACGGCGAAAGTATACTGTATACGAGCTTGAATGGAACGATAGGAAATCACCAGAAAAAACATGCTCCGAGTGAGGATCGAACTCACGACCTCAGGATTGCCCGATTGAATCGGTCATAGGAAAATATGAGACCTGCGCTCTTCCGGCTGAGCTATCGAAGCATGGTGAACACTTGTGTTCATCAAAACCACAATTCACAAACACCACAGACATACGAGAATTTCCGTGAGAAGGGCTAGCCCACAGAAATCCGAGAGGCGTGTTCAATGTTCGCGGGCTTTCGCATCGCTTTCCCCTGGACGGAAAGTTTTCATTTTGGTCCGCTTTACCTCGAATTTCCTCTGTGGGAACCTGTTTGTCAAAATTTGACCTTTACTTGACTATAAAAGGGGCGGGAAGTGATTCATTTCGGTCGCATTTTGATCTAATTTCCC